CCTCTGGTATAGCAACAGGTGGTTCGTCCTCTGGTATAGCAACAGGTGGTTCGTCCTCTGGTTGAGCAACTGGCGGTTCGTCCTCTGGTTGAGCAACTGGCGGTTCGTCCTCTGGTTGAGCAACTGGGGGCAAAAGCTGAGTTGGTGGCTGGTCACTGCTTCCGGAGGGCACATCTCTATATACCCAAAAAGGGTTCATATTCTTGCTCTTCAGAACTCTCTGGGGTCAAAAAGGGAAAATACCTGCTGCCCTGTAGCTGGACTCGGCATTCTCTGTTGTTGCGCACGTCTGCCAGAAATGTTGAAAAACCTTCGCAGAGGTGTCCAGTCCAACTGCGTCTCCAGTCTCAGCGATGGGCCTTCTACTAGCATCAGACCACGCAGACTTCACGGAGCCATAGAATGTTTGATCTAAGGACTGCATAAGATGAGAGGAATGTGCCAGGAGACAATATAGGATGATACCATTGTCCTCGCAGATCTCCGATGTTTCGTAGAGTGAGGTATGGCAGATGTGGCCATCAACAAGAAGTAACAAGGGCTTCTTGATGTGCATGGTCTCGGGGATGAACGTGTCTCTCAGCCATGCGAAGAAAATTGCTGCGGTTATCCAACCATTTTCCGATACCTGCAAGAATATACATGTAGCATGATGTTGCATGTAGTGCAGGATTCGGATGAATCTGGTTTGTAAAATCAAACATGATGTTAATCAAGAAGAACTCAATGCATATTGATTCATGGTGTAATTCATGTCAAACATTGTACTGTTAAATAAAGATAGAAATTTTAGGTTTCTCTCTGTGGGCTGGAAAAGCAAAGAATGGTGGATACCGTAAGAGGCGGCAAAATGTGCCTGTCCCAGGCGTTCCTGGAGTTATTGCTCTCTCCATATAGGGGCAACATCTTGTCCTTCCTTGCTTTGTCTTATGTCCCGCTGTCTGGATCTATTTTTATCCCAACATTCTAACCTCAACTTAACTTACCTGCACCAAAGCGTCGGGAAAACCGTTCAGTAGATTCTTCCCCGGAACCCTCTTGTATGGGTAGATGAGCAGGGGTGGCAAGTAGAAGTCTGCTGCATTCACCGTTGCCAACACCGTCACCCGTGTCTTGGTGTTCGATGTGATGTTGTAGACATTCTTGGCACCTTTACAAGCAATCACCTGAGGGAAACCATATAAAAGCATTTATTTATAATACAAGTTCAATGTGTTTCAATGTGTTTTAGGTGGCTTAGGCCAATTCATTTCACAAATAACAGATAATTGAGAAAAAAGACAAACATCAAACTGCATACCGTATAGTAAAACAATACAGTGTGTGTGTAATGTGTCAAGGGTACCAAACATATAGAGATGTATTATACATATTGTTACCTATTGTATATATCATGCGAATGTCCATGTAGCCTATATGTATGTATGTGTGTGCGTGCGAGCGTATGTTTATAGAGCTGAAATGTCATTTTATCGATATCTGATAAACATGAATTACAGAGACATATTACCTTCCTGTGTTTTGGATCGAAACTAAATCCGCTCTCGTCGGCGTTGAAGATCCTGGTTGGGTCAGTCATTAACGTTGCGTCCTTTTGGGCGATGTGGGTGTGCAGTAGCTAGGGCAAAGTCGGCCAATAAGAAAGTCGGAACGTCAACTCGACGTTTTCGTCAAACTCTAAAAAATCAATGTGACTGTGACTTTGACCTTGACTTTAGAGTGAAGCTACGACTTCCTATGCTGTCAATACTGTCATAGCCAAGACAGGGAGGCCCTCCCACTTTTGCTGCTGCGCGTATAACTCGCTGGACTGTCGATAGTTTTTACATTGGTTACAATGCAAGGCTACTGATCATCTCAGTCGGTATGTCTAGCTTAGGCCTACTAAAATTAATATATTTTAGCGCAGAGAAAAAGAGAGAGAGAGAGAGAGAGAGAGAGAGAGAGAGAGAGAGAGAGAGAGAGAGAGAGAGAGAGAGAGTATTTAATTAATAAAAGTAGCGTATCTAGATCGAGATCTAGAATCTAGGATCTAGAATCTAGATCTAGATTTTGTTGTGCACCCAGCCAAGAGTGTGCAGTTCGGAAAGTAGAGCTAGGCCCCTAGAGGTTGGCGAATGACCGAAGGGCGACTCTTAACTAGGCTACTTGCCTGAGAATTTTCGGAGACACACTATCATGCAACTTGATTCATACTGTCATATCAACAGTAGATAGATCTACTTAAGCTTCTGTGCTTGTTTCAATGGCTTCTTTTTCGGTGCACCTGTACAATTTATTGTGGTCCCGTTAAATGTTTACATGACAGCCATTATTGTCATGTGGGGGTGAATCTAGATCTAGATCTAGATCTAGATATCTCTAGATTCTATCTAGGTAGCCAAGATAATATATTACTAGATCCAGATCTAGAGCTAGATAGATAGCTAGATCTAGACATCTAGATTAGATCCAGAGGCGAAGGCTGACTTGTTTGACAGGGTAATCAAAGTGAGATGGGACCAGATAGGGCCTGGAGATATCACACAAGAATATTACTCGAGGCGGCTACGCTGAGTTGTGAATGAAAACAAATCCTGAATCCATGTTGTATGCATGTTCAACAGCTAAAATATCGGGAAAGTATCAAATTAAATATTTATTCCAAGAATCATTAAATTTATCTTTAGATGTGAATACACAAACACAAAAAGCTAAGAAGCAGAGATGTCAGTACTACAGTATATAATACCAGTGAGACTAAACTCTTTGGTAGAACATGACTATTATTTCTATTAATATTTTTTAATTTTACATTTGGCTGCTTTTGTCTAGCGTTTTGCGGCCTGGAGCCGGTGTCATAATCGAGGTCACGATCTGACTATAGGACGGTAAAAAGTCGAGGGGAAAAAACAAGCACTCGCAGCAGTCAAGATATTATTGGGAGTTAGTTAAAGTGAGGTAGACTCGACCAGAATAATAATAGTTCGCTTACATAATCAGTGCTTGTGACTGCTTATGATTGTGGCCCGAAAGGGGTGAACAGGGTATATGTGGCAATGAAACAGTTTTGACTGTTGCATACATGTTCCCTCCAACTCTTTTGGTAGACTCTTCCAGCCTCCCTGTACGCTTACTTAATCAAAGCTTGCGACTGCTTATGGGGTGGCACGATAGGGGTGAACAGGCTATTTCTGTGGCAATGAAACCGTTTTGAATGTTAGGCATACTGTTCATGGGTGATTATGAGCGTCTTTTTACATTTAATTTATGAGGTTTACGTCTATGGGAGAATTTGATAGCGGCATTTTTTCAAAATTAGGAAGGGAAGCAGTGATTATTTGATTATATAGACGCTTCGCCACTGATTAGATCTAAAACTTTAATTCAGTTTAGATAATCTAGATCTAGAGGGGTCTCGCCGCTTACCGGCACCTCAGTGTTACTTGATGACTCTTTCTGGAAGTGAACTTTTGTATTACCATAACTTCGGCTCTTTCAAAAACGTAGACTCAAAATTTCGTTTCGTTGAGAGGTCAGCCTTTCCTGCCGGCGTGGGGTAAAGTTTTTAGTCTGAAAGTGTATAAAGAAGACCCATAACTGAGACTTGACGCATGTCGCGGCATGCGTCCGATACCGGGGTTATCTGGGAGTCATTCGCCCCATACCGGATCTAGCTCCTTGAGGGGAAAAGACGAACTCCTTTGTGTAAACCCCATACCGGACCCTGTGGAGTTCATGCACCCCATACCGGTACTTAATGCACTCTCTATACCGGCACACTCAATTTGAAAAGCAAAGACGAACTCCTTTTGTACAGTGGGCCTAAAACAGAACTAATGTTTATTGACATACTAAAAAGAACAACCACCAGAACAGGCCCACTTACATCTTACTCACACACATGTACATGAATGCTTCATTTTACTCTTCCACACATATCACAACAACCTCACATGTACATCTTACTCACACTCTGGGCACACAAACGTTAAATTCTTTAATTCACTCTTTGAGATCTCACTCAACACAGCACTCTGTCGACCAGAACACCCCTTATGGTACCACAACTCACACACGTCACACCCTACCCATCCATCTTTCTCACCCCGCCCTCCTCAACAAAAACATGCATTCGGGTCTCTTAAAACAACTCTCATCCACAGAACTGTCATCATCATACACTAATCCCACCTCCTTTTCATCCTCTTCTTCTGTCTCCTCCTTTTCTTCTCTTTTGCTTTAACATCTTCGCCTGTACTTTCCTCTTCTTTCCCTTACTCCCACTTTCACCTACTCCAGCTTCCTTCTCACCACCCGTATTTGCTACATTCTCCTCCCCACACTTCCTCGTCTTCTTTCCCTGTTTCTTCTTCTTCCCTGCTCTCTGCTTTTCCAACTGCGCTAACCTTTTCTCCTCTTCTCTCTTCTTTTTCTCTTCTTCCTTCTCCACCCTTTTCTCTCCTTTTCTCTCTTCGACTCCTTCCTTCTTCTTCTCGTCTTCTAACTTTCTTGCCTCCTCCCACTCTTTATACCTAGCCCCTGACACATATTTGGGGACCTGAGCCCGCTTTTGACTGAATAAGTTTGAGTTCCAGCCCGATGGAACCGGCAGGTTGTCGAACGAGGGGGCTGGTATTAAGAGGTTGTACAACTCAAGGTACTTTTTGTACGCCCCATCATTCTCCTTTGGCTTGATATTATGTCACTGGCGACGGCGGATCCAGTACATGTCCGCTGCCGTCCATCCAGTCGCAATAATATGATCAATCAGGTTGTCTAGGACAAAAGCACTATCCTGGGGCAGTTGTTTGGGGGCTTGCGGTGTTACCAGAGTTTCATCTTCCTCTGGTCTGTACGCAGGGTTGGTGATTTTTTTGATTTTTTAAATAAAATTTAAAAAATCGATTTTTTTTATTTAGATCTAAATCAAGATTTTTAAAAATTTAAATCGTTTTGTTTTTTGGGGGTTTTTTTTTAATGTCGACAGTTTGGGATTTTTGGTGGCTAAAAGTAAGTTCTTTTAGTGCAAAATGCATTGTCTTTATTTTAACTAATGATTAATTTAAGCAACTGCAATTTTAGAAAGCCTTAATCTGCTAGATCTATATCAGTAAATTATGGCTACAGACAAAAAAATTAAGAAAATGTCAGTCTAAAAGGAAGGGGGGGGGAGTAATTATGCGTAGATAAACTTGCATTTTTATTACAGTTACAGTGTGTGTGTGTGTGTGTGCGCGCGCTTGTGTTTGTCTAAAAAGAAAAAGAAAATGCTAATTTCAATTATGAAAAAAGAGTAGATTGAATAGATCTACAGTATTATTTTACTACTTACAGTGACAGGGGGGAAAGCAGACTTTTAAGCATGATTATTTTAGTCTACTAAACCTTATATCATCTGTTTTATAAAACCAAGGAAAGGAATTCTGAATGTTTAAAGATGTAAACACAGAATACTTTTTTAAAAATTGATTTAAATCACTGAGTTTTATTTTTAAAATCAAGTTGATTTAAATTTTTAAAAATCAACTGATTTAAAATCGACCTGATTTAAATCAACCCAACCCTGGTTTTCAATTATGAAAAAAAAGTAAATTGAGAACTGTATTATTTTACAGTGACAGGGGGGGAAGCAGACTTTTAAGTATGATTATATTAGTCTACTAAACCTTATATTGTTTAATAAAACCAAGGAAAGGAATTCTGAATGTTTAAATATATGTAAAAACTGAATACATTTTTTTGAAAAGTGATTTAAATCACTGATTTTTATTTTAAAAATCAAGTTGATTAAAATATAAAAAAATCAACTGATTTAAATCAACCCAGCTTTGATTTCAATTATGGAAAAAAAAGTAATTTGAGTCTGTATTATTTTACATTGAAAGTGGGGAAAGCAGACTTTTAAGCATGAATATATTAGTCTACTAAACCTTATATCTGTTTTATGAAACCAATGAAAGGAATTCTGAATGTTGAAATGTGTAAAAACTGAATAAAAATAAATATTTTAAAAAGTGATTTAAATCACTGATTTTTATTCTAAAAATCAAGTTGATTTAAATTTTAAAAATCAACTGATTTAAATCAACTTGATTTAAATCAACCCAACCCTGTCTGTACGCCTGCTGAGGAAGACAATAGTCATGGTCCTGATCGTCCACATGACCCCGAGCTGGTGTTGAGACCATAGGTAGCTGCAACTCTGCAGCATTGTCCAGTAAGTCTTCTGGTTCGATCTTAGAAAATTCCAGACCTGAGGTGGAGAAGTCAAGACCAAGATCAAGGTCAGTTGACCACTCACAACAGGGGACAGTCGAGGAAAAACCAGCAAGGTTTACAGCTGACAAAGAAGCAGCAGGGGCAGGAACAACATCATCAGCACTCACAACAGACGGAGGAACAACATCATCTTCACACACAGCATCATCAGCACACACAACGGTAACAGATGGAGGAACAGCATCACAACTTGTGGAGACAGGGGCTGCTGGCTCGTAGTGGTGAACTCTGAGGTTTCTGTAAAGGTTCATGACAGAATTTCGGAGGTCACATTTACTTTCTGCACATCTTAGCTGGAGCCCAATGCTATGTGAAGTC